GCCAGCAGGGGGATCAGTGAGGGGCGACTAGGCAGGGGGGACAATTGGGGGAGACCAGGCTGGCAGATGGGGGCAGTGAGGGGAGACCAGGTCAGCAGAAGGGAGCAGTAAGGGGTGACCAGGCCAGTTGGTGGGGGGCCATTTGGGGCAACCATGCCAGTGTGGAGGCGGGGAGTTGGGAGTGACCACATCGGCAGGCAGGGGCCTTTGCGGGTGGCCGGGGTGGCACTTAAGGGCAATCATCCTAGCAGGCAGAGAGAGGTGATCAGCCTGGAGTGGGGGCGGGAGAGGACCGAGCAGCAGTTAGGGGCGGGCGGGCAGGCAGGCAGGCAGGCAGGCAGGCAGGTGAGTGGTTAGGAGCCAGCTATCCTGGACTGTGAAAGGGATGTTTGACTGACTGCTGGTTTAGGCCTGATCCTAAACCAGGTGTCGGACATCTTCCGAGGGGTCCCAGATTGGAGAGGGTGCAGGCTGGGCCGAGGGGACTCCCATTCCCCCTTGCCCCACCCCCACTCCCAGCATGAATTTCATGCACTGGGCCTCTAGTTTAAGAAATAATTCAGTATTGTTTATTTACTGTTACCCAATTTAAGTTATTTCTGCTTACTTTTTGAAGGGAGTAATTAAAATTAGCATTCTAAAAGAGTGATATTTTTGGAGAGCCACCCTGCTATTACAACTGGTTGTAAACTCTCTTAGGCAGAGTGTTGACAAAAGAGCAGGAATCTTAATTATATGATAAAGACTAACTTTAGTGTTTCTGTCCCGCCTTCTACTTCCCCCTCTCTAAGGGTTTCCTTTCTCTCAGAACCAGCTTTCCCCACCCCCATTCTTGTGCACTATAGGAAGCAATTTAGATATTATAGTGAAAATGACTTAAAAAAATCATTCACACTCAGAACCAATGATGTTATAAATGCATAGGAATTGCATATTCTCGTAATTCTATAGTACTTACTGATTTCATTTTTAAACTACCTTAATCTTAACATTTAATTTTGAGTCTGAACTGTCATATTCCTGCTATTTTGAAAGTTAGAATTGTTTACCCTAAAGTGGTTCAAAGTAATAAATTTATTGCGGTGTAGCATTAACAGTGTTTTGGATTTTGGTATGGAAAACTTGTGAAATTAAGTAAAAGGGGGAAAAGCAGTTATTCTAACTAGATTTATGAGAAATAATTTGTTTATGCACATTTCAAAATGAAAGCATAGCAAACCTAAAAATATCTTAAAGACTAAAAGGAACCTGTTTGAGATTTTAAACATTAGTTTCCATAGTACTAGTTGGTTAAAATGTATGTATTAGACATGAGATTTTTTTTTAGAAATAACACTAGCAGGCTACATAAAAAGGATTAATTAAAAGGCTATAGACTATGTAACTAAATTTGCATTCATTATGTGTGAATGCTTTGGAAGTAAATTTTAATGATGATTAATGATCATCACATTGCCTATATTTTATAAATATTTTTAATGTCTCTTGAATTACTTAATGTGTTTTTGATATAGTTGAATTAAAAGAATATTCCTTTTTTCTCTTTCTAGAACAATGCCGCAGAAGAGGTTGAAGAGGTAAAAAATAAATAAATACATAAAAAGCAAACAAGCGGGGACACCTGCAGTCTTAGTCACTGACAATGGGTTTAGTAAAAGTTGCACATTAGACTCAACCCCCTTCCTCTTTTTTAATCCAATATTTAGAATAATATTTATGCTTAGTGTAAACATTCTGTGAATGAAGTAGGCTCTTCTGTGGAATATATTAATATATTACTGTATGTCCACATTTTCATGGAATGGTACTGTGGGAGACTGAGCAAACACTCTTTTGGCAACTTAGTGGAACAGCTTCTTAAAGGCTTTGCATGCTTTCTGCTTTAAGCTGCTTTTTTCCCCCCTTTAGTGATTGCAGTAGTTTATATTGGAAAGAAAAACAGTTCCAGTGTGTGCTCATACAAATACCAAAAGCACTGTAAGGATATTTATCTTGACAGTGTCTATTGATTTGAAGTCATATTAGGACATAATAGGCAATGCAAATTATCAATTATAAATAGATGTGATTGGTTGCCATTTGTGTTCTTTTGCAGAACTCTGATAAGAAAAGTGTTCAATTTGTATTTAAGCAAACAGTGAACGACATTTGCAATCAACTAAATATTCGTCTTTCGAATTAGGGCTGCACATTTCTGTTAAAGAGTGTTGCCGTATGTCTGGTGGCTCCCTTTTCAGGACTAGGGTTTTCTCATGGAGTACAGTATGTTAATATTTACCTATATAACTAATCTGTTAACGGTTTTTGAAAAACCTTTATTTCAAATATTTTAATAATCCTTTATTTTCATTTTAACCTACATAAACCTCTAATTTTTTTTCCCCCTGAGGAAAGCATTTGGTTAATTAGTTTTTTCTTAACATAAGAAAAATTGTATTTTTTTTTAAGTGTTGTCAAACTGAATCCTTTATGCACCAAAGTTGGTTTTGAAAAAGAGAATAAAATCATTTTCTTGCTTTGTTAAGCAAGAAGCCATATGGATTTTTTTTTTAACTTACAGAAATGGAAATATGTGTAACTTGTTAGTATTGTATCAAACAAATGTTGCATAGAGATAATAGAACATTGCTTGTAAATAATTCAGCAGATTTGTAATATATTTTTATATTATGAAATGTACTGTAGATGTTTTTCTAGAGGCATGAAAGTTAAATGTATATATTATTGGTAGAAATAATATTGAAGGATATTGTAATTCACTAGTGCTGCCAGAGGAATTGTTAATAAAGCACCTTCTTTAACAATAAATGTCTTTTGCAGACTTAAAGGGACTATGTACTACTGTTAATATCTTTAAGAACAAAACACATTGAACATCCTTCCAGAAAGTCTTTGAGGGAGGACCTATACCCATAATAGAATTATGGCACTCATTTCTGACAGTGACTGTGAAATCAATCATTTCCTTACTGTTGGAAGGACATATTGTAAAGTATGTGGTTATATGCAGTCAAACTGCAGAAAATACTTCTGATTGAGGAGTTTTCACTTTACTACAATGATATAAAAACCAGCAGTTTTTACACTAAATTTTTAAAGAATAGACAAAAATATAGAACTAAGCCTTTGGTTCCAAAATGGGAAAGTTTCATGATACATAAGTCATATCTCCTTTACTTTAAAATATTTTAAAATAAAAGTTATGGGGACTTTATTCGTAAACAATGGGGTAAAGAGCTATATACATGAAATGAGTCATATAAAATGAAATGAAGTGCAAATAAAAGCACTGGTACTATAAGACATTCTGGAATGGTTGTTTAATAAGGGTATTATCCATATGATCTGTAGCAAATGTGATTTTATTTTTAAAAAGAAAAGAAAAGCAGTGTGTTTTCTTACCGTTTTTTATTTCTTTGCTTAAGCACTTCATTAATTGCTTTATTCTGTATCTGGAAGTAATCTGCAATCTTCTTTGTTCTTTTAAAATTTTGGTTTGTTAAAAAATTGCCAAATAGAAGTGTTTCAGATATATAGTTTGTACCTGTATGTTTTATTTTATTGCCTCATGTTCTTGTAAGTCATTCTTAATTGACCAATGATTGTAGACCTTGCTGAGTATTTTTTCTAATAAAACAAAAGCAAATCACATTTAGCTTCAAAATTGTAATAATTCAATTAAATTTTAAAACATCTACAATATACATCTAATATTTTCTTTAGGGATCCAGTAAATCAAAGTTTCTCATTTTATGGAAATTCAAAACCACATTTCATGGTTATTGATTAGCCTCCAAGTACTCACTCATGGTACTTTGTTGTTTATCTAAGTTTGGTCTGATTCTATTAACACCAAAAAATATGAAATGAAAATGAATTAAAGTGTATTTAATTTGTACGTAAACAATATTACCATCAATTGTGATTGGCAAGTAAATGTGAACATTTTCTTTTTAATCCTCACCCGAGGATATGCTTTTATTTATTTTTCATTTTTTTATTTTTTAAAATTTGTTATGCTATCACATAATTGTCCTCATCATCCTATTCCCATCGAAAACCCCTTTCCCATGTATGCTCCCACTCTCCTGTTGTCCATGATCACTGGTTAGGCTTATACAAGTCCTTTGGTTGATCTTTTCCCTTGAGGATATGCTTTTATTGATGTTTAGAGAGTGAGGAAGGGGGAAGGGAGTGAGGGGGAGAGAAACATCCATGAATCAAGCCCACAACCTTTTTGGTGCATGGGATGACACTCCAACCAACTGAGCCACTTGACTAGGGCCTACTTCTGAACATTTTAATTTTTGTTAATGACATCTATCTATATTGTACTTAACTTCCATATATGATGCTATCTAATAAAAGAGTAATATGCAAATTGACCATCACTCCAACACAAGATGACTGCCACAAGATGTGGACAGAAGAGGGCCGCCACAAGATGGCCAGCAGGGGAGGGCAGTTGAGAGGGACAGGCCTGCAAATTAGGGCAGTTGGGGGCGATCAAGCTGCAAGGGAAGGCAGTTAGGGGTGACCAGGCAGGCAGAGGAGGGAAATTGGGGGCGACTGGGCCTGCAGGGAAGGACAGTTGTGGGGGACCCAGGCCTGCAGGGAAGGGCAGTTAGGGATGATCAGACCTGCAGGGGTGTGGCAGTTGGGGATGACCAAGCCTGTAGGAGGCAGCAGTTAGGGTTGACCAAGCCTGCAGGGGAAGGCATTTAGGGGCAAACAGGCTGGCGGGGAGCAGTTAGGCATCAATCAGGCTGGCAGGGAGTGGCTAGGGGGTGATCAGGCTGGCAGGCAGACGTGGTTAGGGGCAATCAGAAGGGCAGGCAGGTGAGCAGTCCTGGATTATGAGAGTGATATCCAACTGCCCGTTGGATCGAGCCTAAACGGGCAGTCAGACATCCTTTGAGGGGTCCCAGATTGGAGAGGTTGCATGCTGGGCTGAGGGGGACACACCCCCGTGCTCGAATTTTGTGCACCGGCCTCTAGTATTTATAATTTGGTACCTGAAATATAATTAGTCTTATTCAAAATCCATTGTTTAGCCCAGAGTGGTCAAACTGCAGTCACAGGCACACTCATTCATTAATGAGGTGTCTGCCACTTGCTTTCCTCCTGTAGTGGCAGAGTTGAGCAATGAGACCATCTGGCCTGCAGACCTAAAATATTTACTCTCTGACCTTTTAAGGAAAAACTGCCAGTTCCTGGTTCAAATGATAAAAATTTTGGAAAAATAAACCTAGTCCACAGAGCCTATATTTTAATATACTAATAGTTTTAATCTTGGTAAAACGAACCAGTACTTTACATTTCAGTGCAAGCTGCTTAGTATACTTTAAAAGTGGCCATTTTCAGTGACCAGACACGGAGCAGCTGGTTGTGGAACGAACCAGAGCAACAGAGGCCAGGCCCGGAGCAGCCTGGCCCAAAACAGCTCGCTCCTCACCTGCCCCTGCCCCACGGCTGCCTCTCAGACATGGCTGGAAACTTTTGCGGGAACTTGAGGGTCTGCTGAATCAAGTGATGAAGGCTTATATCTGGATGTGTTGAGTTAGTATAGTGCTGGGGTGTTGATCTGTGAGTGCCTTGGGTGGGGCCTGGATGAGGCTGGTTGTCCTATTTGGAAATGTCTTTTGTGTGAAGTGTATCATTGGGCATGTGGAGGTATTATTGATATGAGAAAATGCTAAGTAACAGATTTGCTATCTGAAAAGGGATTTACTATCGGGGAAAGGGAGGGAGGAAGAGACTGAACATAAACTGTGCACCAATGGATGAGGATGAGGGGGCAGAGGGTGGGGTGGGAACCTGGTGGAGGGGGGAAGAAACGAGGAACCTGTGTAATAATATGAACAATAAAGATTGATTTAAAAAAAAAATAGAAAAAATGAAAAAAATAAATAAATAAAAGTGGCCATTTTAGGTAATTGCAACAAATGGTATATTTTGCTTTTTTTTTTGGTATTTTGTTTATACTTTCACATTGGATTTCTCAATAGTTATTAATATTTCACCTTTGTTTTTGTGTGTTTTGTTTTACTGAGTAGGACTAAAGGAAATTTTAGGTCTTGTTTAAACCACAAGGCACATAATGCTCTATCTGAAAGAATCTTGGAAGTGGAAAATACTGTAAAATTTAAAATTGTTTATTTTTTAAAAATAACTTTTTCATATATAAATCTTACCAAAAGTGGACACACATTGCTTCTGAGTTTCAGATGAAAGGAAATTAAGATGGGGAGTAATGAACTCTAAATGTGTATTTTAAGATTTGGTTTATTCTCTTTGAATATCAGTAAAGTGCTGTCTGTAAGATTATTTTTTTCATTTACACTTGAATACTTTAAATACTTTTAAAAGGATATAATTTGCAACAATTAAGTCATCTTTTATTTTTTGCTATTTGAAATTTTAATATAGTTAACAAAAGCTAGATACTTGAATAAAATATAAAAATGGGAAAATATGGTCAAAAGTGTCTAAAAGGCAAACAAATTCTTACGTTGTGAAACTGATATGCTTATCTGTATAACAAAGCCTAGGATTTTGAAGACAAGAATATTTTGGGGGATTTTAATGAAAAATATTTTTATTTTCTAAACGTGCAGAAAATAATTTCTTAAAAGGACCAATTTTTGTAAAAAAAAAAAAAAGTAACATTTTTGAATCCTTGTTTATAAATTGTTATTTTTTTATTGTCTTCAGAGAGGAAGGGAGAAGGAGAGAGGGGTAGAAACATCCATAATGAGGAGAAGCTCATAGATCACCTGGGCGGCGAGGGAATCTAACCGAGACCTCCTGGTTCACTGCTAAACTGCTGAGTCACACTGGTTGGGCTGAAAGAATCTTAATTAGGGCCAAGGAAATCTTAACCACATTTTGCTCATCTTTTTTCTTGTCTGATTCCAAACAATTTCCACTTCATACAATTTTTATAGCCTTCTAATTTATGACAACAAGGTAAATATACAAAACCATTTGAGTATCTTATCCTCATTTATTTATTCTCTAATGCTCTGTAATGAGAAAGGGGCCACATCTTAAACTTAACAAGCTTAGGTCCTACATACTCAGAAACCTATCCTATTCAGCCACATAGGATAGTCTGAATGCAAAACTTCCTAACCAAAAATGAGTCATCCTGAGTCATCCTGGAGCTCTAGTTTCCTTGACAAAAGGTCATTTACCTTAAGTGATCCTGTCTGTTGTCCTTTTTCATCTAAAATAACAGCCCCTTGCCATGTCAGAGTAAATAAACCCCGTTTTCGGGACCACTCCCCCCACCAGGACAGGGGAGACCACAGAACCCCTCGTCGTTAGCTTGTTCCCCACCTACCATCTCTGAGTTCTATAAATGTTAATTATCCTACACTCAAAAATCTAAAATAAGTGTCTGTTTTACTTTATATCTAATTCCAGAGATTTTGCTGTTTATTTTCTTCTGCTTCCCTAATCTACCCGCAATAGAGTTCATGTAACTCCCTGGCGTCTCCTCTTTTGATTCTGAAGTATCAAGTTGTAAAACTTCTATTCTTTGGAGCATTTTCTCAATCCGTTGAACATTTGCTTCCCAGCAAATGTCATCTTGACTGAAATGAAATCAGAGCTCTACGGATTTGGACGTTTCTTACACTGACCTATGTATCTTTTCCTTCTCTCTGAAATTATATTTCTTGCAAGGCAGATCTGGCAACAAATTTTCCCAGTTTTTGTCTGAGAAAGTCTTTATTTCTCCTTCACTTTTGAAGGATGGTTTCACAGGATAAAGAATTACTAGGTGTTTTTGTTTCAATACGTATTTCACTTTCTTCAATTGCGTGATTTATGAGGAAATGCCTGATGCTATTCTATCTTTGCTCCTCTGTAGATACGGTGTTTTTGCCCCCTTCTCTCAAGATTTTTTTCTTTTCTTTTTCTGCAATTTGAATATGATAGGCCTAGTTATACATTTCTTGGGGGTGAGGGGCATTTATCCTTATTCTGTGTTTAGTTGTCTGATGTTACTTTGTGGAAATTCTGTCATTACTGCTTTCAGTATTGCCTCTCTGGTTTATTGTTCCTTTCTCTCTTCTGGTATTCTCCTCACACATATGCTAAACCTTTGTTGTCCCGAGTTTGTGTCTATTCTGTTTCCCTTTTTCTTAGTTTTTAAGAAAATTTTTTGCTTTTCTGTTTTGGAAATTTATTTTGATATATTTCCAAGCTCACAGACACTTTCCTTAACTTTATCCAGTCTAATGAGCCCATCAGTCATTTTTTCATTATTTCTATTGTTTTTACTTCTAGGATTAATTTCTGTCTTTCTGCTTACATTGGCCATTGGTTCCTGAAAGTTGTCTACTTTTCCATTAGTATGTTGATATGTGTTATCTTAGCATATTGATCTAATTATTTTAAATTCCTAGCCTGATAATTCCTACCTGCCTGCTGTATCTGAGCTTGCTTTTTGTCTTTGAAATGTGTTTTTTGTATATTGTTTGTTGAAATGTATAGTAATTGTTTGTTGAAAGCCAGACATGATATGCCTGGTAAAGAACCACTCTCAATAGGCTTTTAGTGATGTGGGAAGGTGTGTGTGTGTGGGGGGGGGGGTAGGGTGGGGCAGGGCAGCAGCGGGGTGTGTGTGTGTGTGTGTGTGTGTGTGTGTGTGTGTGTGTGAGCCTTTGGCCCTGGGCTATGACCTTCACAAGGGCCTTTCAGGTTTTTGTGATTGTTTTTAACCAAAGGGGAGGTTTATGAAGGCGAAAGTAACAAAGCTCTCTGCTGGAGGAGTCCCAAAAAGGGTGGCCTGGCCTCTCAGTTTTTCCTTCCTTAGGTGGGGCAGGGCTGGAGGTGGCTGTAGTTGGGTATTTGCCCTTCTCCCACTTGGAAGACTTCTCCCAGGTCAGTTAGGCCCCAACATAACTTCAATAGTGTTAGGTTCTGGTGAAATATTCAATAGTTTCTCTAGAGGACGGGCCTCTTTAAGAACTGCAGAATGTCCGTCCCACTGGTGTGTCTCAGAGGTTGAGCAAGACCCTTGAACCAGGCGGTCATGGTTGGATTCAGGGCACATACCTGGGAGGTGGACCTGATCTCCAGTAGGGGGCATGCAGGAAGCAGCCAATCAATAATTCTCATCATTGACGTTTCTATCCTCCCCTTCCTCTTTCTGAAATCAATTAAACAAAAACTGCTGAATGTTTTGGGTCTTTTTGAAAATGGCTACTTTCCCCTCCTCCTGCTAAAAGCAGGAGGGGACTTTTCCCTGTCTTTGCTGTGAGAATGGTAGGACTCCTGGAGGTAAAACACAAATTGTGTGTGGGGCTGGGGGTGTGTGTGGGTGTGTGTGTGTATGACTGGGCCCCTTTGGAGTTTTTAACTTGACCATATCTACACCGAGCTTTCAGCAATTCGCCAACTACAGTTTAGGTTTTCCTACTCCTCTACTGATTCCCATGGATGATCTGCTCTGGTAGGTGGTGATTCATCATCTCCTCCTGTCTCGGTCTCTGATTTGGGGGCAGTGATTTGCCTTGTGACCTCTGTACTCTGATGGATCTAAGAAGAATTGTTGATAGACAATTCAACTTCTACCTGTTAGGGCAGATAACTTCCGAGCGCCTTACATTCCAGATTAGAAACCAGATTTTCAAACCATTATGAACAGTAATCTATTGAATCACTCATTTTCCTGGCTCCATTACTCTAAGTGAGGGTTAAGACTATACAAGGATCAGGGATGTGTCTTCAGATTGCACTGTAATTTATTTTTATTTTTTTTGTTAATCCTCACCTGAGAATATTTTTTCCATTAATTTTTTTTTTATTTTTTATTTTTTTATTTTTTATTTATTTATTTATTTTTTACAGTGGAAGGGATGAGGAGGAGGAGAGAGAGAAACATCGATGTAAGAAAAACCTCAATTGGTTGCCTCCTGCATGTACTGAACCAAGGCTGGGATCAAGCTTGCAACTGATGAACGTACCTTTGGGATTGAAACTGAAGCCCTTCAGTGGGCTACTGCTCTAATCCTAAGCAGATCAGCTAGAGCCTGCAGTGTAATTTATATCTTACATAAGGCAATTTCAGGCAAAATTGAAGGGTGAAAAAAAAAAAAGTACAAATTTCTGTTTTTTCTCAACTTCACTCGATTCAAAACAGGAACTCAAAAAGGAATCAAAGGAGCAATAAAGAAAGGATCAAGGAAATGTATTAATTCAGTACTTAATTCTATATTATGTTTAGTGTTTTCAGGGGGACACAGGAATGGATAAAGCAAAAGGCCCTGTTCTCATGGAACTTCTTTTCTAGTGGGAAGGGGAGGGATAAGACAATGAACTAAAAAATGAAGTCAGTGAAAAGGGCCATGAAGAAAAGCAGAGGAACTAGAGAAAGAAGGTAGGGTGCTGTTCAGTCAACACAGTTGGAAGTTCTCTGAGGTAATGATTGAGCAGAGACCTGGCAGGTGTGTGTGTGTGTGAGGAGTATGTTTGGGGCAGATGTGGTAAGTAAGAGGGTCTGAGGAGGGTAGGCTTGGCTTGCTGTATGAATAGAAAGCCACCAGTGTGGCTGGAACATGGGGTACAGGGGGAGAGGGGGTTTGGTTAGAGGCACATCAAGAACAGACTGGCACACTTTGTTCTGTAAAAATATAAATTAGATGAAATATTTTTTTAGTTTTCAATTATAGCTCACTTTCAACATTGCTTTGTTTTGATCTCAGGTATGCAGCACAGTAGCTAGACAATCATACGTTTCCAGAAAGTGCTTCCCCTGATATTCCCAGTACCCATCTGGCACCATACATACTTTCACAATATTATTCACTGTTCCCTATGCTGTACTTTACAGCCTGTGACTACTTTATAAATACCAATTTGTAGTTACCTCTTTTACCCAGTCCCCCAATCCCTCTGGCTATTACCAGTCTGCTCTGTGTCTGAGTGTTCCAATTTTTTTTTAAATTAAAAAATATTTTTTTTTTCTGAAAGTAAGGAGAGGGAGAGATAGAAACACCAATGATGAGAATGAATCATCGATCGGCTGCCTCCTGCATACCCCACACGGGGATGGAGCCAGCAACCCTGGCATATGCCCGACTGAGAATGGAAGGAACCCCTATCTCCTGGTTCATAGGTGGACGCCCAATAACAGCCACCCTGGCTGGGCTGAAGAAGTATTTAAGTGAATG